ATGGAACACAACCATCAAAGTTAAAGGTTTTTTTTGGTAGGGTCCCACCACGCGCAATGTCGCTGTCAAGTCCGGCAGTTTTTAGTGGCTTCTTCTGCAAGAATACGCCCGTACATTATCATTCATATTTCGAAAATAGAAAAGAACGGTTGCAGTTTATTATGAAATTTCACAAATTATGTTTACATGATTCAAAGCTCTTTCACAATAATAGATAGTTTTATCAATCACAAGAAAATAAAACAGGATCCTGTCTAGTACTCAGCTGATGTGGAGTTAGAGTCCACAACGATATTTCTGCTTCTTTTTCCGACTGAAATGGTTTCGTTTCGAAAGTAGGGACTGTCGTTAATGGTATACCTTATAGTAGAGAATTTCATCACCAAAATTGACAAAACGACTCAAAACTATCGTTTTCTTGTTACAAAGCTTGTAAGTTCCCTTATTTGTGAGACATTTAGCATTACATCGCTTTCCATTCTCCTTTATAATAACCCTAACTTCGACAAATTCGGCGAAGTTTGGATCAGGTACTCTTATCATGAAGTGGTTGGAGCTGACCTGTCTGCCCTATAACTCTCGTTATCTTCATTAATTGATCTCTTTACCACCTTTATTATATCAGTGAAGTAATATGGCGTTCCCTGTCCTTTTCCGTAGATCTCAATGTTCCTCGTGCTGAACTTGATATTCGTAAGATTCTTGGGTTGCCCGTGAATCACTTTGATTGTAAAGTAAGCAGTTGGGTAAGGAAGAATACTGTTGAAATGCATAGCTCTTTTGAGTTTTCTCGGCAATCCCTATAATTAGAAATCATTGAGGAGAGGCATCTTATCATACCTGAGAATGGAAAGCTGATTTGGGTTGTTTGACTGACGATGTCAATCCATGGTTTGTCTTAGTTGCAAAATTTTTTGTTGTTCCATTATTGCCATTATGAGTTGTCATTGTTATTTTGATATTTTTGATCAAATTTTCTGCATAAGTCTTTCTTGTGGATTTTATATCCGAGTATTTTGAATATTTTCTGAGATCTGATGGATTTGCTACATCGTACTCAGAATCAGGATATTTAGAAGATTGCATTTGAGGAAGCATAATCGTTGATATGAGTCTTTTACTCTGGGTGTTCTTCTTTTCGGGTATTTTAACCAATGGAGGTGGTAATGATCTGCTTCCTACACTGCACAGATTACTAATACAGATGGAATTGTAGCATTGAGCAGCTGATTGAGTAGAACAAATTGATCCTGGCCGTAATTTACTCTCACAAATAGTAGTTTCTTCATTGCATTGGAGATATGGGTTGGGAGTACGACATGAATGACAAGGCGATTCTGTTGAAGTGATGGAAGATGTGATGATACTTCTCAAGCAGAAAACTCACTTGCAAACTCAGCCAGAAGTGCTTTGCCTATCTTGTTCAATAACGAAAGAAGTTGAGCATTCTTCGAGGTTTTTATAGAAGTCAGAAAAAGTTTGAGTGATTGTTCTCTTTCAAAGTTGATCGGAATGAGATCATCTCTAAAAAAAATGTCAAATGATGTTTCCTTCCGCACTTACCTATATAGTCCGTCATGCACAATGAAGTTCTTTGTACTCGGGAAAAATGAATTCATAAAGAGAGGAGAGTTCAGTGGATTGTTCATCCGCTGCTCGATTCTACTGTCCCAGTATGGCATTTTCATATTGTAGGAAGCTAAGCTATCATCCATTCTGAAAATACCTATATGTCACCATTCCGTAACAAATTACAAAATACATTTGAACAAAGTCACAGACACTTTCTGAGAGAATCATATTGGCCCATGAGTTATCATCGAAACTCTCCCTAACTTTGTGAAATTCAGAGGAAACTGTAGCCCTCTCTTCAAGCGTTAGTTGACGAATTTCGTGCCTTCCAGTCAAATTAAAACACGGATTACAAGGAAGCTTAAAGATTGGTTTCGAAAAACTAGTCATATTGAGGAACTTACTGTATCACAACCAAGCAATACATGACTAGACTTGATGGAAGATAGAAGAAGAGCTGTAGTTATG